ACTTGTGGCGATGCTCCAAGAGTCGACGTAGAGTGAATATTTGATCGACGCCGGGGCGGAATCCTTTCTGGTTAGGACGAGTGCGTGCATGCCTTGCTGCAGCAAAGCGGTTCAGCAAAAGTTGTGCAAACACTTTGGCCGCCACGTCCAGTAAGCTGATGCCTCTGTAGTTTTCGCACACTGACTTGTCACCCTTTTTGGGGAAAGGTAGTATAATCGATATGGTCCAGTCAGTTGGACAAATTCCGGTTTCCCAGATTGTACACAGCAAGCTATGAAAAGGGCTTAAAATAACTGAAGAACCCTTCGCGTAGATTTCGGAGGGTATCCCGTCCTCATCGGGAGATTTCCGTGGTTTGAGATGGCTGATAATATCTTAGACTTCTTCTACTGATGGCGGAGCGCAGTTAACTTCGTAAGGAGAAGATGGCGAGGAGGACGCACATGGTAGTTGGATTTGACGGCGGTTGACAAGAAGACTAAAGTGTTCCACCCACCGAGACATTTTCCCCTGCGTATCGGAAATGAGCTCACCGGAGGTGCTGCGCAGCACAGAGTGGGTGACCTGATTCTTCCTCGATGCTGATCGAACAAGACGGAAGAGGGTCGCCGTGTTACCCAGGTTGGCTGCTGTCTCCATTTTAGTAGCCATTTCTTTTTCCAGAAGTTGCATCTGTCATTTCTGGCTGATCGTGTTGCTTGTCGCCTGAGATCGCGATAAGCAGAGGATTGGGCTAGACGAGCTTCTCTGGCCGCATTAGCTAAATGGATTGTGTGACTGAATATCCAGTCCTTCAGACGACGTGGTCTAGTGCCTAACGCGTGTAGAGCAGTTTGTACCGATGACTTCAACCTGCTCCACTGAGTTTCAACCGAGCTCCCTGTGTTACCTTGTGTACTGAGAGGGTCGTTTGACAGCTGTGCACTTATCATGTCCATTACTGTCTGGCATTTTTCGCTTTTCTCCAGTGAAAGCACATCTAGGCGTTTTGGGGGGACGGACTTCCTGCGGGTTTTTAGATAGAGTCTGACTTTCGCGCGAACTAGTACGTGATCAAATCCGCTTTGGTTCCCACATTCAGCCCCGCGATAGGAACGACAGTCTTCAATCGAAGAAACCCATCGTGAACGGACGAGAACGTAATCTATTTGATGCGCCGTTCGGCCGTC